AGTGTGTTCTCGGGTGTGGGTGCCCCTGGGTCGTCATTTGAGGGGACAGAAATCTGCATCCCAACCTAAAACTCACCGATGCAAAAACACAACATAAAAATGAAACCAGGGGGGCTGGGCTCACGCCTGTCATCCCAGCACTCTGGGAGGCCGAGGCGGGAGGATCGCTCGAGGTCAGGAGTTCGAGGCCAGCCTGAGCAAGAGCGAGACCCCGTCTCTACAGAAAAAAAATAATAAAAAATGAAAAAAAAAAGGGTTGTACACATCATTCATCCAACCGACATCTCGCAACGACAGGCAAAGGCCACTAACGGGCGGTTCACAGAAAGAACCCGGACGGCCCTGCCGCGTGTGAAGAGGTTCTCAACTCCTTCCCGATGGAGTCGTGTAAATTTAAATGATTCTTTCCTACCTCTCAGATTATTAAAGATTTTAAGTTATGGGAGTGAGCAAACACTTCTTTAAGAACACAGATTGGCTTAACCTAGTGCAATTTCACAAGCACAAATCTTGACTCAACAATTTCACTTCCGCTTTTGGGTATTTTCACACTCGAGTGTAAAGACACGTGAGGTTTACCGCGCTGTTGTTTGTAACAGCGGAGGCGCGGAATCGACTCAGATGCTCGTCCAGAGAGGACTGTTTATTTTAATAAGCTACAGGCCAGTGGGGTGGCGCACATGTTTAGTCCTAGCACTCTGGGAGGCCAAAGGGGGAGGATCGCTTGAGGGCAGGAGTTTGAGACCAGCCTGGGCAATATAGTGAGACCCCATCTCTAAGAAAAAAAAAATGTAAAAATAGCTACTCATGATGGCGTGTGCCTGTGGTCCCAGCTACTCGGGAGGCTGAGGTGGGAGGATCTCTTAAAGCCAAGAGTTCAAGACCAGCCTGGGCAACATAGCAAGACCCCGTCTCTACAAAAAATAAGAAAAATTAGCTGGGTGTGGTGGTGCACGCCTGTAGTCTCAGCTACTTGGGAGGCCGAGGCAGGAGGATCGCTGGCGCTCAGGAGGTTGAGGTTGCCGTGAGCTATGACGACGCCACTGCATTCTGAATGGCTGCAGGTACCTGGGGAGTGCGAGTATGAGGCTGGCAGGCCTACAGCGATTGGCTGATCATTTAAAAACCAGCTACTGAAAACCGAATTTTCGATCAGGAAGTCTCCCAAAGCGCACACTGTCAGGCAGCGAAGGGCCGTCACGGACAGCCCAGCTCCCTCCTTGCCACGACCTGCCCGGCCTCTGCCCGGCCGCAGAGAGGCGCACAGTTGCGCGGCGGGTTGCCAAAGTCAGCTGGCTGTCACCCCAAGACCAAGGTTCCCAGGAAGCCCTCGGGCCGGCTGATCCCGTGCAACAGGTCCAAGTTCCCGGGTTGACCCGTGCGCAGCAACTGGCCAGCGGGTGGCTCCTGGCTCTGCTGAACGGCCGAGCCCCTCAGGCTGGCGACCAGGCAACAAGGGGTTGCCCGCCGCCCCCGCCGCCTCGTTCTGATCCGTCCACACACGCGATCCCAGAGTGTGTGCAGGCTGCGGCCGGCTGCTCGGCCACCGGTGAACGGCGGGGCACGGCAGCTGCTGAGCACTCAGTGGGGACTCTGCGAATCTACAGTTAGCACCTGCATCTACAGTTAGCACCTGCATCTACAGTTAGCACCTGCATCTACAGTTAACACCTGCCGAATCTACGCTTGACACCCGCAGAGCCCACAGCCCGCCGCCTGGGCGCCCAGTTCCAACGCTTCGCCGGCCCCTGCCGGTCCCCAGTGCCCGCTCCGCTCCCGGCGGAGAGACGCGCCCGCGCAGCCCCTCCCGCGGGGCACAGGTGACAGAACCGCCGGTCCCGCCAGAGCCGCCGCCGCCACTCGCTGCCTCCCCCGCGCCGCCCTCGTCCCCGCCGCGGCGGGCTCGCGGCCTCCCACTGACCTGGCGCCCTCGCCCCGCTCCCCGCGCGAGTTGTAATTCACCGTCATGACCTTCACGGCGTCCTTGAACACCACGTCCCCCTGGCTCAGGTACCGCAGGGTGCGGCGGACGGGGAAGCGGCCCTTCATGGGCATGGCGGCGGCGGCGGCGGCGGCGGCGGCGG